CTCAGATTTAATTGAAGAAAAAAAAAAATGAAAAAAATACAAATAGGGAATATTTTAATATTATTATAATAATAAGTCTGGCAAATGATTTTGACCAACTTGAATCTTCACTACTTGAGGATGCTTGCATACATTATGAGTAAATCATTACCTTGTTCTTCATTAAAGGATGATTTTTTCCTATCTATTCCCATGTCAAACTTTGATACCCCTATTTTAGGGTTTAATTTTTATGGATGACAGATGGACAGACACCAGAGACTCTTTGATCAGAAAAGTTCAATAGAGCCTCTGCTCAGATGAGCTAAAATGTAAATGTCTTTGATTATTGTAAAAAAAAAAGTCACCAAGAAGAACAAAAGAAAAGGATGATAAATGACCTTTTTTTATTCTCAATCACTTCCAGGATATTATATTTCTTTTAATATGTTAATCAGTGTATGTTTGACTATTTTTTGTGAAACTTTCTTTAAAGATATAAGGTATAATTTTATAAATAAGCTTCAATTCTAACAATATAACTCTAATATAACTCTCTAAGATATTTGAGACCTGTTTTCTTAGCATGGGTTTCACAAGAGTGACTTTAAAACATTTTTTTGCATTTAATGCACTAAACAATATGAATAAATTAGATAAAACACTATTATAATATCCTGTATCAAGATCCCAAAATGTTCTTCATTGTAAACTCGTGGAAAGTTCAAATTAATATGTATTTTTGTTTGGTCATCATATTAACTTTTTTTAAATGATGTTTGGAAAGTTCATAGCATTTGTTCATACAACCATGAAATCAAAAATATTAACTTTCTTTAGTCATATCATATGAAACTAAATCACAGTCTTCACATTTTGCTGATATTTTCTCCAACACTGCTTTCCAAAAGATTAACTGTTGAGACAAACCAACATGGACCAAACCCTCTGTCATTTGAATGATCTCCTTGACTTTGAAATCTGTAAAATATTAAATATAAATAATTTATAACATACCACTAAAAAAACAATACTGTTGATCACTCTCAAAGAGGGAACTTGAATTGAAAGTTAAATCTTTACATCATGACTAAGTAAAAAGTATGCAAAGATAGACATGTAAATTTCAGGGTCAAAGGCTACACATCCCTCAGCAATGATCTTCACATTGTAAATGTTGGTTAACACTGATTGTTGGACTGAATATATCTTATTTTAATTTACAATTAGTGTAGATCAGAGTAGTTTAATCCATATAGAGATAAATGAGTCTAATCTGTATGTATACAAAGAGGTCAAACATAAATAACATCAATTAAGGTAAACCCAAGTGATGGTCATGTCATCTTGCCTTGGGAAGTAGATGAGACAAGCATATAAGATCATAATGAAATAAAGCAAACAAGTACAAAATCTGAAGGTTAAATGACAAGGTAAGGATTTGATGGCAGAATTTTAAAAACCTGATATGATGACATGTGTGTTAGTAAGCTACAAGAAGATGATCAAAAACAGTTCCTTCCAAAAGAGATTGAAGTTTTCAATTATTTAAAAATAACCTCTGAAGTGACTTCCTTTTTTCAGTCACTGTTTACCTAACAGTTGTTTTTTTATCGTTAAAAGTCAACTGCAATATAAACAATTACTTTTATTGGGTTATAACGTGACATCACACATATTAGGTTTGATTATTCATGATAACAATACTTAATTCACTCAAGCAGCCTCGGGTAGGAGAGAACTGTAGGCGGACTCCAACCATGGCTTGAGACAATGTGATGGACACATATACAACATTTACTTAAACAAAATCTTTCTTTTCATCCAACCGCATATATATTTCTCATCATAAAAATTGTACATTCTTTCATTCTGTACACATAGAATAACATCTGAATCCAATTATACAAAATGAAAATGACTAGTCAGCTCACTGTGATTATAACACCTACCTTATACCCTTATACACATGTCTATTAAATTTACAGAATCATTTCATTGGGATATAAAACTTACCTTACAGGGGAGGTTTTTGGGAGGGTTTCAACACAGGTATCACATGATTATGAAATGCAGAAATTGACAGTCCAGAGAAAATATCTGTCAACAGTGTTCTTTTTTGTGAAACAAGGCATTCTGTAAACATGGTAAACATAGTTATAATAAATTTTAGGAAAAAAGTTCAAAAACAATTCTTTTAAATCTAGATATTCATATTAATCTTTGTTGAACATGTTGAAGGGTGTCAGTGTTTTAACTGAATGGTATTTATTTCCTGAAACTGTGTCCGATAAAACTTTTTTTCTATGAGACATTATAAGAATAGAGTTTTGCTTCCATCTCTCGAAATTATGTGAATTTGAATTTGATTATTGTTTGTTATCTTCATATTTCATTGAAAGTCTCTTCCATTTTTTTCTTTAAGCATTTTAACCTCAATGTGTCAAACTATACCAGATTTCTTGATTTTTTTTTATTGGTCCCATCAGGATAGAAATAACAAGGTTTGCCTGTACCATTAAAATGCAGGTCCTCAAAAAAAATATAATAATAATAACCTTTGAGATAAAGTGGTGGCTACATGTACATTCATTTTTTTTCTTCAATTTTATAGAAAAATCTTAGAGGTTTCTACAAGAATATTATGGTATTTATGGATCAATACCAAGGTTTACCCCCCACCCCACCCCCAGCACCTTATCTCTTCCTTACAAGTGCAACCAACAACCTAAGTCTGATTGAGCATATGAAAAACTTTCATAAAATGAACATTCAACTAAAAATAAACATGCATGCTTGGTAGCATTTGATTCAGCATGCTCAATGGTAACTTAAGATCAGGTAAGACCCCCTTATGATACTCCCTTTTTGATGAAACCAATGCAGCTGCAGAAATTCAAGTTTTCAATCTTAACCATTTCAACTAGAGAATATTAATTATTAATACTTTATGCAATTTTCATCTTTAAAAAAAAAATATTTTTCAATTTTGCTGCACTCTTCATCAAATTGATGAACATTCAAAAATTTACATATCAAGCAATAAGCAAATGAAGTTGACATCCTTGAAAATGTTTATCGTTTAATTTACTTTTCCCCATGAGAACTACATATACTGCACTAATCTGCAATCAGAAGGACCAAGTCCAAAATGATGGTTTGTATACAGTACAAAGTTATGTGAAAATTATTTATATAAATAATTAATAATACTTGCATCTCTTTTACAAAAAGTAAAACAAAAAAGCAATAAAATTTGAATATCAAAATTTTGATCTACAAATAACACATCTGATTTACCATATATGTGTACTACGTAGAGCCACTTCACTTAGCTGTCATTGGACATTTAACTTGGTGTGTCTGAGGCTCAATGAAGGATCTTACACAAAAATCGCTCATTAATGAAAACAAAATTTAGTTCTTTACTCTACTCATAATATTTGAAACCATGTTTTTGACTGAACTATATTTTTATACAATAACGAATACTTTTAGTATTTTGAAACACAGTAATATTTATTAGAGGAACCTTAAATATTGCCCGCTACCAAATTGTGGTCAGCATGAAACACGTGGAAATTCTCAGATCCTTTGTATAACGTTTAACCTTTTTAAAATTGATGTGCATCAGATCGCAGGCGTTGTCACACTCAAAATGCATTACTGATACTAGGAGTTATATCGTATTTCTGAGATAAGGCTCATAAATCACAATAAACACAACAAATCGACTTACCAGCTCCTACTTTCACTTTAGCCGAATATCGCATGACAGACCTCAGAAATAAACTACGCTGAGTGATTATAGTTCTTAATTTTCGTGCAATATTTTTCAATATTATATGACATTGTCCTACATTTGTAGGATTAATATGCTTATTTGATAAAAGGTAATTAATAGCCTTACCTGCAAAAGAAATAACAGACGTTAAATTCAGTCGGAACTGCTAAAACTGGGCGCGTATTAATTTATCTGTCCATTGTAAAATCGAAGACGGAGCATTCCCTGATATGACGTAAACATCGATGTTACTTTTATAATAAACAATATTAAACATTTAGATCGAAACATTCTAATAGCTGGAGATGTTTTACGAAATATCTCTCTAATTGCTTTGTGTAATCGGGGTACTAGAGACATCAGATTACAGAAATAGTCAGTTGGTTCCAATACCGGAATGGCAGCCCCCAGATTTCGCATGGCGGACATGCCTAGTTGAAGAAAAACAGACAGTTATGGAAAAAGTACGCACAGAATTGTTAGGAACGAAACAAATAGTTGTACCCATGACGTTCAACTATCTGCACATATACAACAAATGTCATGTTATTGTTTTGTTAGACCTGTAGCTGTGCAGTCCTGCAAGTGTAATATGCACATTATTGCTGCATGACACTGCAAGTGACAATCAAACTGCATACATATCAAGACAGCATTCCCATGGAAGGTGTCATAGGTCAGTTTTCAAGAGTAAGCAAGAAGTATTTATTAAGATATTGAGATTTTTATTTCGTACGAGTTTCACTTGGATGAACACAAAACCAAACCCTTAAGGAGTGCAGCCATATTATTTTATAATGTTACTAATTAACAAAAAAAAAACACAGCTGCTTAAAAATTTCTGTTGCTGATACACAAAAAAAGAGTTCATAATAATAGAACTTTCAATTCCAATACAATATACACTTACACAATCTGACAAAAATCACAATGATATGCCTCAAATAAATTTAAAAGTGATAAAGCAATTTTTTTTCACAGTTACAAAAAATACCTCTCTGTGTCTCTTGTGTTAAAGAAAGGGGTCACAATTACCCAATTCCGATACAGTGGAGCCTCATTAATGCAGATGCAAAATAATTTAAACTTTCACATTCCAAATGAAGTTTGTGGAAAACGGAGTGAACATTCATTTGTACCAATTATAAAAATCATGGGTTTTATTTATCTAGACAAGTTGCTGGGAACACAGGTATCCATATTAATGAGACTCCACTGTACCTAATTAGCATAGAAATCATTTCTGCTGAGTTGTTAGGGTAGATCTGCATGAAAATGTTTCCACAGTTCCCCTTGTGTATTGTACTTCACAGTCAAGAGGTATTAAGAGAGACATTGTGCGCTCTACAGTTGCCTCTTCAGAACCGAGACCTGCACACAGTATTCCTAAAGAAATGCTGTGTGTGAAGAATCGTTCATTCTCTTCAATAAGAAGGGAATATCCCCCATCTGTTTTTTCGTAGGCGACAACAGATCCATTCACAATGGATGAAGGTTCCTCACAGGGCTGCAATATGAAACAATGCATTTGTGAAAGAAACATTACAAGTATTTTTCTTTCAATGAATATAATTGTCTTTTGCCAAATACTCGAATACCCAGACTGAGGCAATAAGAAGTACTTTTCTGGGCAACAATTTTTGGGGGGTTTTGTATATTATGGAGACATGCACACATATAATTTTTGTTATATGATTACTTGGAAAAATAAGTCTCAAAAGTTATGGAAATAAATGAAATTTCAATTTACAAACACAACCTTGACGAAACATCAATTATACAAAATTCTACCTCTCAAACAAGGAGTTAAAAGATGTGAAGTCTAATTTTTAAGGCATATTGAAAAACTGATATTCCAGATTGCTGTGATATCCGGTTGATCAACATGTCCCTGGTTTACACAAGGGTGTCAGAGGATTACACACTACAATGTGAACCGTTGTAAATATATCTTTAAAAATAATCATAATTCATACCTCTATTTTTGTTCTTTGTGTTGTTGATAGGGACACCTCCTCCATGTAGGAGGAAGTGACCAAGTTGCATCCATTTACTTGATCTCTCCACAAGGCAAGCTTGATTTCTTCTGAACCATCATTGATTCTGACATTCCTGACTTGAAGAACGTCATTCCCTCGAACTTGTACTGTACGGACCATTTCCTCCTGTCAAAAGTGTACAAAATAAAAGCTCTTCAGGATAAAAACTTTGTGGGAATTTTTCATTGTTAAACTTTGTTGCAAGTTAGTTTGAAAAGCGTGTTAAAACTTTGTATTTTCCTTCAACACTAAAGACTTCTAAAAAGAAAATAACATTTTTTGCTCACCTCAACGAAGTTGGGGGAGCTTATGTAATACCCTCGGCGTCGGCGTCTCAGGTTAAGGTTTTTGGAGCAGTTTTCTTTTCAAGTACCTCTATGGCCTATATTAGTCAGAGATGCATGGAGGATGCTTCTAGTGTGTTTTATTGTACCAGTCAAGGTTTCAGATGCTGCAATTTCAGCTAAAGAATGACCAGGTTAATGTTTTTGGAGCAGGTTAAAGTTTTTGGATCAGGTTAAAGTTCTTGGAGCAGGTCTCATTTCCAAGTAACTATAGGCCCTATATTGACCAAACTTGCATGGATGATAAATCTAAGGATCACACTACTGAACTTGCTTCGGATGCTGGATCTGACCTACATTTTCCGGATGAGTGACTAGGTTAAAGTTTTTGGAGTAGATCTCATTTCCAAGTAACTATAAGCCCTATATTGACCAAACTTGCATGGATGATACATCTAAGGATGCACACTACTGGACTTGCTTCGGATGCTGGATCTGACCTGTATTTTCCGGATGAGTGCCCAGGTTAAGGTTTTTGGAGCAGACATCATTTCCAAGTAACTATAAGCCCTATATTGACCAAACTTGCATGGATGATACATCTAAGGATGCACACTACTGGACTTGCTTCGGATGCTGAATCTGACCTATATTTTATGGATCAGTGACCAGGTTCAAGTTTTTGGAGCAGATGTCATTTCTAAGTATCTATAAACCCTATATTTACCAAACTTGCATGGATGATACATCTAAGGATGTACACTACTGGACTTGCTTAGGATGATGGATCTGACCTATATTTTCCGGATGAGTAACCAGGTTAAAAGTTTTGGAGCAGATCTCATTTCCAAGTAACTATAAGCCCTATATTGTCTAAACTTGCGTGGATGATACATCTAAGGATGCACACTACTGGACTTGCTTCGGATGCTGGATCTGACCCAAATTTTTGGGATGAGTGACCAGGTTAAAGTTTTTGGAGCAGATTTCATTTCCAAGTAACTATAAGCCCTATATTGACTACGCTTGCATGGATGATACATCTAAGGATGCACACTACTGGACTTGCTTCGGATGCTGGATCTGACCTGTATTTTCCGGATGAGTGCCCAGGTTAAGGTTTTTGGAGCAGACATCATTTCCAAGTAACTATAAGCCCTATATTGACCAAACTTGCATGGATGATGCATCAAGGGACGAACAATCTCAAAACTTGCTTCGGATGCTCGATTTGACTTGCATTTTCTGGATGAGTGACTAGTTTAAGTTTTCAGATAAGTCTATTCCCAAGTAACTGGAAGCCCGATCAGACCAAAATTGCATAAATGTTGCATCTAGGGATGCACACTCCTAGATTATTAGTTTAGTGTGGGACTTTGCCTTACTTTAAGACAACATTCATTGAGGTGAGCTCTGTAATCTCTGATTACCTATGTTTAAAGTTGTTTTGACTCCATAAAAAATGCCTACAACTCCTTGTGTACTGACAACAGTTCATATTTACAATAACAAGTGGATAAACAAGATTCAATCTTGCAACCAAAGCAATGTGTCAATCAAGTAAATATAAAGGAAAATGAACATACTGAAGTTACTCGTCCTCTTATAGAGACCATGGACTTGACTGGACTCTTTTTGGCATCTTGAATTGTCATGATTTTGGCGGTTGCTGGATTAGCTATGGCTTTCGCCATAACTTCAATATTGCCCGGAACAGGGAATACTGAAGTTTTCATAACTTTGCTCATTGCTGTCAAGGCTACGGTCGGTACTGGATCTGCTTTATATACATAGTTTGTAAGAACTACACACTGCCCACTCTTGAGTAATGTTAATTTTTCTAACTCGTACAGTGCCACCTTTATAGCATCCTCTTTTTCAGCTACCCCAAGTGCTACACATTTTTTCTCTTTTCCATCCACTGTGGTATACGTCGAGGTGTTTCCAATCCCAAATACTTTCACTTTCAGGGGATTGCAGTAAGGCTTCGGCTTTGAAGCCTCAAGTTTCTTGATGCTAAACATCTGCAAAGAAGATTTCCCGTTAATACAATATGTTTTAGTCTTTGCTACTAATAAATGCTACACTGGATTTTGAGCAAACAAAATCGGAACAAATAATCATAAATTTTAAAAGATGCACATATATGTATATATATTCAGGATAGTGTAAACGTAATGTGCAAATGCTACATATTAAACATCATAAACAACCTTTTCTTCCTGTAACCGGCAGCTATGAGCCATCTTATTTTTTTCTGAAATCCTAGGACCAATAATGCACAAGAGACCTATGGGCCACATCGCTCACCTGAGCACATTTGGTAGGCAAAAGTACAAATCAGTTCAGTATTGAAAAGATTACCGGGAGGGCGAAGGCTCAAATGAGCTTTTCTGATCAAAATTTGTCCGTTGTCTGTCGTCGGCGTCGTCGTCGTTGTTGTCGTAAACTTTTCACATTTTCATCTTCTTCTCCAGAACTACTGGGCCAATTTCAATCAAACGTGGCACAAAGTATCCTTGGGTAAAGGGGATTTAAGTTTGTTCAAATGAAGGGCCACTCCTTCCTCAAAGGGGAGATAATTACGAAATAGCAAAAAATTAATGGCATTATTGAAAAATCTTCTTCTCAAGAACCAATGGGCCAGGAAAGATGACACTCATATGGAATTATTGTCAGGTAGTGTAGATTCAAGTTTGTTAAAATCATGACCCCAGGGGGTAGGGTGGGGCCACAATGGACGATCAAAGTTTTACATAGGAATAGATAGGAAAAATCGTCAAAAATCTTCTTCTCAAGAACAGCAAAGCTATGATTTGTCATATTTATTTGGAAGCATCCTGAGGTGGTATAGATTCAAGTTTATTCAAGTCATGACCCCCAGGGGTAGAGTGGGGCCACAATGGACGAACAAAGTTTTACATAGGAATATATAGGAAAAATCTTCTCAAGAACAGCAAAGCTATGATTGGTCATATTTATATTGGAAGCATCCTCAGGTGGTGTAGATTCAAGTTTGTTCAAATCATGACCCCCAGGGTAAGGGTGGGGCCACAATGGACGATCAAAGTTTAACATAGATGTACATAGGAAAAATCTTCTTCTCAAGAACAGCAAAGCTTTGATTGGATATATTTTTTAAAGCATCCTCAGGTAGTGTAGATTCAAGTTTGTTCAAATCATGACCCCCGGGGGTAGGATGGGGCCACAATGAACGTTCAAAGTTTTATATAGGAATATATAAGAAAAACCTTTAAAAAGCTCAGGAACAGCAAAGCTACGGTTTGTAATATTTATATGGGAGCATCCTCAGATAGTGTAGATTCCAATTTGTTCAAATCATGACCTCCAGGGGTAGGGTGGGGCCACAATGAAACTTTAAACTTGTAGAGAAAAAGTCACAGTTAGTCAAAAAAATATTTAAGCAGTGTAGATTTAATTTTGTTCAAGTCATACCCCCCCCCCCCCACTCCCTTTTAGGGGTAGGTTGGGACCATTTATGCATATAAGTTTTTCAATACTAAACTGATTTTTCCTTTTTTCCTGGCCACAGTGCTCAGGTGAGCGATGTGGCACCTGGGCCTCTTGTTGAAGCTACTTCTAAAATGAATAGGGAGAGTTAGTATGATTTACATTTTCATTAGTAGTACTAGAATTTGTGTTGTTTTTTTTTTTAGTTTTCAGGTACTCATGGCTGATTTTAAACAACATCTCATTTTTTTTCTTTCGTCAAATTTTACATTTCTCTAAATTTACGAAAAATTCTAGCATAAAGAGCATTTTGATATTTTTCCTGTTTGCGAGAGTAGATCTGCTGGATAGCATTTGCAAGATTTGTTTGGAATTTATTAGTTGGAGTTTTTCTTGCTGTTTAAATGTTTAGATTACGATAAGTTTTATTGAAGCATATATAATCCATTTTTACAGAAGTTGTTGAATACAAGATTATGGCATGATTGTATTACATTTTTGAAATTACTTTTAAAATGTATATGTAGTTTTAGAATATAATACATTTTCTTTAGTAATACTAGAATTTGAGTAGTTTGTTTTTACTTTTCATGTACTCATACTTATTTAGTCAGCATTAATTTTTTTAAATACATTTTTCTAAATATACAACAAATCTGGCAGCATTGTGTCCATATCTGTGTATTTAGTCATATTTTTGTATTTAAAAAAAAAAAAAATTGATGCTCATTCTTCCTTCAATGTCTATATACGTTTGGTGGTGCATAATAAACCTGTTCTGTGTTATAGCCTTGACAACTGTCAAATTATACTTGTTAAATAAATACTTGATAATCTTGTTCATTTATTAATTTTTTAGTTGAAAAAAAAATTGATGAAACCTGTTAATCAACATCACTTTGTAAGCTATTCTAGCATGTTGCCTGTAACACTATGTTTGAAGTTTTTCAAATTTCAATTTCCCTGCATTAACTGCTTATTATAGAGTGTTTGAGCAAAATCTCTAGAACAATTTTTAGGATAAACATAAAAATGAAAGTAATCACCCGTGTGGTGCAATGCTAAGAGCGTCTGCTATAGAGTCACAGATTAAGGAGTTGATCCTTACATAGGGGGATTGGATCCCAGTGTGGGAAGTGGAAACTGGTCGTATAAATCAAGGTCCTATGTCGCAGTAGGTGCTGGCATGAAAGAAACCGAGTATAGAACAAAATTTGCAGCTCTCCACCGGCAGGTGGTGGTGTCTCCATATGAGTGAAAATTCTTGAGAGGGATGTTGAACAAAAAACAAATGTAAGTTATCCTTAAAAAAGAAGATGCCTTTTGGTCTTGATGTCAATACCACAACAAACGTTGGTTAAAATACTTTTACTCTCTACATAAGATTGTATTGTCCAAACAATATCATAAAAACATTTCTTTGCAAGATGTAATTGGTATCCAAGAAGTACTTAACCCATATTCGTTCTGAAGTAACAAGAGGCACACTTTCAGTACATAGTGAGCATAAAGTCATAAATAGGTATCTTGAATGTATTCAATTAATAATTCTGAGGTCATTATGAGTTGGAAACCCTGAAAATGTCAAATGTATCATACTGAAAATGATTCTCGTCGTTACTGCATAAAATCAACTCCCATCAGTACTTTCAGTACTTTGATTATTTGTCTATTTTTTTTTTAATATCTAAGTTGTTATTTCCAGAAATCAACAGAATTAAAAATATATATTAATATAAATAAAATTCTCCTTTGTTTGACCCTATCCACAAAATTGCAGTAACTAATAAACTATTCTCTTATCACCCATTTAATCATGTGGAGAGGTTGGACTTCACACAGCTGCATCAATTAGTACCTACACTGCATCAATTAGTACCTACACTGTAATCATTTAGAGGTCATTTTCCATTAACGTGTTATTGTATTTTGTAAGCAAAATGGGGGAAAGACCGAGATTAATTTTGGATGTGAGTGAAATGCAAATGGAGGCCATAAAACATTTCTTTTTTCATAGTGACTGGAATTTTCGCCCCATTGACACATCACAGGAAGAGAAATTTGGCGGGAACACAAGTGCAAGATCAGAATGTGTAGACAAAGGTGTGCAGACAAATATAGAATTAGATGCTGGAGTTAATAGAAGCTGAATGCAGTGGCAATAATGATGAAGATGAAGAAATATTTGTCATCCTTCAAGACAGTTACAGAGATGAATGCCCATTCTGCCTCTGCAAACCCTGTATCACAGACGACGACAACAGGCAATTATGGTGGGATGTAGAACCATTCAGACCGCCCCATCCCAGGAATTCAAAACTACGAAAGGAGAAATATAAAAGGTTTTGGACAGTGCTCTTACATCGTGGAGTCTGGAGTGATCCCCGATATGCTGAGAACAAAATGCGAGCTTTGGAACATTTTCAGCCAGGACAGGAATAGCACAGACGTGACATTATGCCGACATGTGTAGTGAATACTGTGAGAACATGGCTACCAAATCCAAAAGATGTACAATACATCGGTCACTTGTGGGAATAATTTTTATTTCACAGTTGACAGTCAATCAACATGATCAAATTGATATTTTTTCTCTGTTTATTTGTTTCTGTTTGTATAGGCTAGGTGTTTTGACTTGATATTTATTTTATACTATATTGTGAGGATTTTATAAGTATTCTAATTTCAATACAGATGTCACAAATCTGAATCATGGATTTTATCTTTTGGAGGTTGGATTTATCTAGAGATGAAAGTAAGTCAAACACTGCAGCATTCAGTTCTGCCCGCCATGCCAGCATGTGATGTAGACAACATCCGGTGTAAACAATAACTAAATCACGCCCACTGCTGGCAGTTTTGAATATCAAATAGAAACAGAGGCCCTGCTTCAAATATTTCAATGAAAAATACAGCTAAGAAAATTTTTTACAGTAAATTTAATTTTTGACCAAAGATGCACATTAATGAGAAGAACAAGCATGACAAACATCTGATGATAAAGGGGAATCCGTATTTTAATATTTGTAAATAACTCTCTGCAATCTGAATTTGGCCAGAAAAATCAAATAACCCACCATTTATTTCATTGGCTGCTATTTATACTCCGATGTCCTCCTTTAAAACGCTACTCCTCCTACAGTTTTTGTTTGATTTCAATATAACTTGGCACGCAAGTAGATTACACTAAGACACATAATTTAGTGCATCGGTTTTTTATTTCGATAATCGTTGTTGCCATGCTTACTAAAAATATAAATTTCTG